ATCTCTATGATACAGCCTCATGACACACTTCCTACTGCGATCATGACACCCTACTGAGATCATGCCATACTTCCTACTGCGATCATGCCACACTTCCTACCGCGATCATGACACACTTCCTACCGCGATCATGATACACTTCCTACGGCGATCTCAGTCAGATATGAACAGCCTCCTGACACACTTCCTACTGCGATCATGACACACTTCCTACTGTGATCATGACATACTTCCTACTGTGATCATGATACACTTCCTACTGTGATCTCAGATGTATATGATACAGCCTCATGACACACTTCCTACTGCGATCTCAGATGGACATTAAATCTTACAAGTCTCTTCACCATGCAGACCTCTAGACAGCAAGGAAAACAGTTGCCCATTTTCTGTCCATGGCACAGCATCTTCATCGAAGCTTGAGGGATGTATTTTTTATCTGAAGTTGGCAAAGCTTTGACTTCTGACACTGTCCTTCAGTTCCGTCCCTCTAGTCTAGATATACAGCTTTTCTCTGAAAACTAAGTTACACTTTTTTCCATTCTGAGCCCCAGGTCCTTGAGGTAACGCTAAAATAAATTATCTTAACTAATCTGCAGTTGACCTTTTGGCTTCAATGAGAACATGTGAGGAAAGCTCCTGAAAAATAAAACTGACACCACAGGTGCTAATTTCCCCTGTGTAGGAAGAGGACACATCAGTAAGTGAAAGAGCCAGAGAGCAGGTCGGCAGGCAGGGAGCATGGGCCCCGCCACACAGCACCTGGGGGAAGCCACCAAGAAGCATGGCCAGGATGCCTAACCTCTCCCATCCAAGGGAAACACTCACATTTCGCAGACACCATATTTAAACTGCCAAGGACCACACAGCTGGATGAGACGCGGCACTGCCTTGGGGAGCACGGGGAAGGTGGGCACTGCCTGTTGGAGATGGGACACTGCTGCTGGGAGCATGGTGTGGGTGGGGGCATGAGCCACACAGCCGAGGTGGAGGGGGTGTCCTCCAGCTACGGAGAAGGTGCTGGGAAAGAACGAAGAGCCAGAGGGAGGACAAGCAGCTTTGCACCTGCCCTGCACGTCCAGCCATCTCTGGGGCAGGCTCTTGCTGCTGAGCCCAGCAGTGAGAAGCGGCTTCCACGGGGTGTCCTTCTGTGCTTTCTGAGTTTGTGACAATGTGGATGCATTATTTCTTCAAAAACATCAATAAAATGGATGTAGTGCATGTCTGAATATTCTATATTCTCAACTCTAATATGCCCTGAAGCACGAGATGATTCCAAATCTGGCACAATTTAACCAAGAATGAAGCCAAAGCCCACATGAGGCCTGAGTTCTCACGCACTCCCATCCTCACAGAACACGCGCTGTCACACTGGACGTACCCGGAGCTGTGAGTGCTCACAGGGGAGGCACACAGGCCCCTGCAGGAGGAGGCCACGTTACACAGAGAACACAGTGGCCCAGCCTTGCCAGGTGCAGGGTTGTGACAGGCTGGGGGCAAGGGCATGAGTGCCAGCCAACCCAGGAATGGCTGCAGACGCCTGGCCGGCAGTGGCCAGGGCGATGGGCACTGGCCCCATGCGTCCTGTCGGGGGGTACATAACCATCCCTGGGAAATGGCATGTGAGAGTCTGACATCGCCAGGGCTGGGACCAGGGCTCGGACTAGGGCTCCTCTTCAAAAAGGCCAGGGTATCCAGAGAGGGAAGAGGTGTGGAGAGGAAGGTCTGGGGCAGGGACGACGTGGGGACTTGTGTGCGCAGATGTCCCTAAGGAAGGAGGGGAGCTCGTGGGCAGCTTTGCTTACAGAGCTCGCTCACAACCACGACCCCACAGGAGTTTCACAAATCAGCGTGCCCAAGGAAAAGCAGTTTGCTTCAGCACAAGCAGCACGCACCAGCAGAGGTGAGCCTGCGGTACCTTGATCCCGGCGTTGCGCAGCATCTCCAGCGTGGGCCGCACGTCCGCCTGCAGCTGGTCCTCCACGCCGGTGAGGCACAGCAGTTCCATCTCCCTCTCCAGGCTCTCAACTACCGCGGCCACCTTGAGGGACCTGTCGTGCATGCTCAGCTTGGCCTGAGTGTATCGGCTCTGGGGACAGAGAGGGAAGCGGCTGTGTGCACACGTGTGTACGTGCTCCACGTGTGTACTCCACAGAGCTGGACTGCACAGGCTCTGGGGACAGTGGGGGAGGCACCTGTGTGCACATCCTCTATGTGTACTCAACTCGACTGGACTGTGACCACTTAGGAGTTATCAAGCACAATTCTAAGGAAACTGGCACTTCTTTGCTTCTGTGACACTCCTTTCCCAGCAGGCTGGAGAAGTGGTGGAAACAGAAATGTAGAGAGGATCACCCCATGCTCCTGCTGAGTGAAGCTGCCTTCACTCCTAGACTACAGCAGTCCCAGCTCTAATTTCACACAAAGACAGGAAGAGCTAATTTCAGCAGAAGGAAGGAAACGTCGTAGGAGGATGAGACGGCTGGGAGTCAGCTCACCTCAAAGTCCTGGTACTGATCCTCTGTCAACGCCTTCTTTGCAACCACGAGGGTCCGCAGTCCTTCGCGAGCCATGTTTCCGCACTGGAAAAGGAGAGGCCGAGTCACAGGTGGGCCCCACAGAGCCCCTGCAGCCGTGTGTGGGGCCGGGGTAGCACCACACTCTGACTGTTGGTGCCCTGCCCTCATGTCCTGTGCTCACCTTCATCATCAAGACCAGAGACGACTCAGCAGACGGACGCCTTTATACACAATGCATCCTTTTAACCTCCCGACCTGTCTGGTATCTCGAATCCTACTAACCCCTTCACTCGAGAGGCCAAGACACCGGATGGAGTTGGGGCGCCTCCGCCTGGACTCTCCTGGTGCCTAGCAGAGCTGCCTTTTACCACAGCACGGGCTTTTCAAAAAAACATACTCTGAATCCGTAAACACCACCACTCCAGAGTGTGGACACGACTGCACGTAACAAGAACACACAGAGGGCGCACGTGGCAGTGCTGGGGACGGGGCGAGGGGAGCACCTGGTGCCAGGGAGGGCTCCTGGTGTGCACGGGGGGAGAGGTGCACCCCCCTGGCATGTTGTAGTACCACGGATTTAGAACCAGATGGCTGGGCCTGAAAACTGTTTCTACCACAGACTCTGTGTTTTTGGGCAAATGACCTAATTTTTCTGTGCTTGTTTCCTCTTTAATAGAAATGGGCTCATAAGAGTGTTGCTCTGGGACTAACCCTGTGAATCTGTGTAAGTTCTTGTTGCTCTATTTTAAACATGCATGTAACTGGCCTCGCATGGCAGCCGATCACATGCAGTAAGTGCAGTCAGTGATAGAGGGGAGGGCAGGAGTGCAGGGCCGCGGTGAGAGCTGGGGTTGGTGGGGACACGGCCAGATCCCAAAGCTCATGAGCCTCACCCTGCATTCCGGCTTCCAGAGCAGGGGGGAACCCTGCAGGAGTCATGGGGCCTGATGTGCGTGTTGAAGCAAGACATGGAAATGCCTGCAATGGGCACATGAAACAGGGCTAACCGTGTTCATGGTCAGGGAAGGCGTCAAAATAAAAAAATACGACTTTCCAAATCAAGGTAAAAGTGCAGCAGTTTTAGCTGGTGATGGGGCGAAGAAACAGGCTCTCTGGGACAAGGTGCAAACCTTTCCCAGAGGGGTGGTGCAGGAGCAAACCTGTGCGGAGGTAACACTCTCAAAGTTAAACTGCTCATACCAGTGACACACACCCCAGTCCTGGAAGTTCAACCTGTACTTAAAAAGTAGACCCTGATGTCCACAAGAGGTTGACAGGTGCCATGTTGCTTTTACATGAACAAGGGTCAGGTTTTAAAAGGCTTGGACGAGAATGCTCATAGTCAATAGCTACACCCTGCACTTCCACATAGCCAGCAGAGAGAATCTGGAGAGCTGCAGAAGCCGGTTCTGGAACTCTGCGCTTTCTATGCCATTTCCTTGTGTGCAAAGTGAAAACAGCTCCTCCCTCACATGGTTGTGGTGACGTGAAGGACACCCAGCGGGACAGGCCTCGCGGGGCCACAGGAATAGACGCAAGAAGCACGTGTTCCTGCAGGGCAGGGTGAAGAAACAAACCCAGCCCACTCTCCTACCCGGCACAAGGCGGTGTGGGCGACAGGCAGAGGTGGGCAGGAGGGCACCAGTGGGCCTCCTACCCGGCACAAGGCGGTGTGGACGACAGGCAGAGGTGGGCAGGAGGGCACCAGTGGGCCTCCTACCCGGCACAAGGCGGTGTGGGCGACAGGCAGAGGTGGGCAGGAGGGCACCAGTGGGCCTCCTACCTGGCACAAGGCGGTGTGGGCAACTGGGCAGAAGTGGGCAGGAGGGCACTGGTGGGTCTCCTGGGGGACCAGGCGGGTCCACGACTTAGCTGTGAGCACACACAGTCCTGGTCAAGGGGCCAACGTCTGGGGGGTGCAGACAAGAGGCAGGGATTGGAGGGTGCTGGGCTCCCGGACAGCTAAGGGGGTGCTGGGGCTGCCAGGAGACAACCCCCCCTCCTGCTGTGTGGACCAGGACAGGGATCAGGACAGTGGGGCCCTCTTCCAGGGACACACAGGGACCTTACAGTAGGTTACTAAGTGGTGGGTGAGCTGTGCCTAAGCTTTAAAGTTGTGGTGTGTTTTATGAAAAGTACATTTAAAAAAACAGAGTAATGAACACCAAGCTATATAACTGTTCAAACTATCAATTTTTGAATCTAGCAGTTTCTACTTTTTTTTTTGAGATGGAGTCTCGCTCTGTCTCCCAGGCTGGAGTGCAGTGGTGTGATCTCGGCTCACTGCAAGCTCCGCCTCCCGGGTTCACGCCATTCTCCTGCCTCAGCCTCCCCAGCAGCTGGGACTACAGGTGCCCACCACCACGCCCGGCTAATTTTTTGCATTTTTAGTAGAGACGGGGTTTCACCATGTTAGCCAGGATGGTCTCGATCTCCTGACCTCGTGATCCACCCGCCTCGGCCTCCCAAAGTGCTAGGATTAC